AGCCCCATCAAAGCAATGGCTGCTGCATAGGCAAAGGCATGGTGCCCTCAGGCCATGGAGGAGGCACCTGTTCTGCCTGGTCCTAGACAGTGCTCGGTTTGCCTGCGGCAACATCTGCGGGGCCCCTGTGTCTGCTTGTAGGGGTGGTGTAAGAAGTCAGGGTAGGGGAGGAAATCACCCCTCTCTCCCTCCCCAGCCTGCTGGAAATGTGCTGTGTGACCATCCAATCTAATTAGTTGAACCCTCAGTGCTGCCAGAAGAAGGTTTCAGAAAAACCCTCTAGCTTTCTTCACTCTCAGCCTCTTGAAAGATAACAGAGAGGATCTGACTACAGGAAAGTGCAGCCCCATCTCCCGCATCCCCACTGCCAGGGGCAATCAACTGTGATCGGAAACCTCCATCTTGAAAACGCCGAGCTCCTTCAAATCTGAGCTCGGGATAAGAACATCTGAGCTCCTTCAAATCTCAGGGCTCTGACCTGAAAGAACCTCAGTACAACTGCCTGCAGAGGCCCTGCCCAGCAGACAGACTGGGGGCAGAGGGACAGCCACCTTTGTCACACTGTCCAGGGGGTGCCTGCCCTGCTACCTCAGGCAGGCTCTGCAGTGGGTGACCCTGCTGACCTCCCTGGGGCCCTGGTCTGGTGCAGTGCAAGGCCCAGCTCCACTCCAGTTACAAAGTGACTATACTGGCCCACTGCATTGTGGGAAAAAAGAAGCTATTAGTGCCTATTTCTCTCTTTAGGCCCTTCTCTATCCAGGTCCTCTCACCTCTCAGTGACACCTTCCCAGACCCTGCTTTCTGGCCTCCTTCCTCTGCCAGAGCCCATTCTGGCCATCCAGGCTCATGAACACCCATCTCCCTTTGCCCTGCCACTGGGCAAGAGGTCGGGCCCTTAGCTGTGCTAAAGGGACATGCCAAAGGGACACCAGTGGCAGGGAGAACAAAGGCAGAGCTACTCGATGGCCTCAAGGGATTTGGGGGCTGCATGAGGACACAAAATTCTCCAAACGAGCGCTGCCATCACGGACCAAACCACTGGCTCTGAAAAGCCTATGGGGATGCAGTCACGTGAGAGGGGAAAGCTGCACCATTTACAATGCCACTGCTCCCCTGGCCACTGCCAATCAAATTCTGTCATGTGTAAAACATTAACCAGACAACCCACCAGGGGTGGCATTAGCCAAGTTCATCTCCTGTGGTCATCTGTTCCCTCCTCACTGGCCAGTGACACTCACCTGTCCTGCTCTGCCCCAGAGACAGCCAGAAGACCTGCATCAGGAGTGCAGCTCACCCAGAGCCCCCAGAGGCAGGACATATGCTGTTTTCCCCCAGCCCACTGGGGCACCTAAACAGAGGCAGGGGGTAAGTGAATGGGAAGCAAGTGGGCTGCATGGGGTGGATGGCCTGGCCTGAGTGGACTGAGGACATGGATCCCAATTCTGGAAGGAGTTCTGCAGGAGAAAAAGACACCCACGGCACCCCACCAACCATCACCATCCAAGTTAGAGGCAGAACCTTTTCACCAAATCACTCAGACAACTCAGCATTGAAATCTCATACACAAAGACCACCCTCCTCCCCCACCCCACTCACACGCACAGGTTTGATCCTCTCGACTTTATTCCCTCAGGAGATTATTCTCTTTACATTTGGACTCGTGAGCCTAGTGGCCTACAGAATATGTTATTCCTTTCCTTACTAGTCACCTTGCTAAGAGCTGCTGTAAGAGCTCCCAGCCCAGCAGTTAAGCCTCCCAGTGATGGGGTTAATTTTCAAAATACCCAAACTCGTTTTAAATCAAATTGTTTTTCCTATTTGAAAATTCTTCTCTACCTCAATGGAAAAAATGATGATCAGACCACATGCAAACTCCTAATGAAGAATATATAACCCAAATCTAACCAAAGCCCAAATAATTGCCAGAAGTTGTTTCAGAGGGAAAAAAAATATATCCTTTCCCTTGCAAAAATCATCTACCCCCAAAATAATATATTATGTTCAAATTATAAAACGATAATCAATATAGTATCAAATGAATTTATTTGACCCCACTTAGAGTATTAAAGGATTCTTAAACCAAATAAAGAAACCAGAGTCTGATTTTTTTTTTCATTTCCAGCACTTGATCATAGAAGCAGGTTAATCTTTCATAGTTTCTACTTTACTTCAAAGGGGGCTTATGTGCCTATGCCTCACCTAATGTCATCACTCTGACCTCTGAAAATTACAATGGACACTTCCTGTGCTCCACCATCAGGCCAGCATTCCCAATCACACTTAGTAGCAACTTCAGCTGTGACAGGAGCTCACCTGCCCTCTGGCTAAAAATAGCTGTCACCGATGTCAGAAGTAGCAATGTTCTCTCTCTCTTTTGCTTAACAGCCCATTAGGGGACTCTGTGAAAGAGGCAGATGAATTCCTCACCAAAAGGTAGCCTCAACTTCACCCAACACCAGCTGTCCAAGGCCTTTTCATATATCAGTCGTTGAGATGGCTTTTATCAGTTAAAAATAGATCTGTCAGCACCCCAGTTCACAGCAGAAACCACACACTAGATTCTGCAGAACCCAACGGCACTGCAGTTTGGAAATATGGGCCTGGGGACACACAGGGCTCAGAGAATACCCTACAAAGCTGGGCATTACCCTCTCCTCTTGTCCCTCCTGATGCCATGTGACGTGTCTCCTGTGATGCCTCCCTGGGTAATCTCTTTGAATTCCAGATGCCTGCCGTGTGTATAGCCTAAAGAGTTCTGCTGTATTTCCCTTGAAGTATATCTGTGCAATTTATACTAAAATGATTCTCCTTCTTGCTGAGAAGTTTCCACAAACTATCTTAATTGCTTGAAGCAATTCTACCATATTGTAATTATAGCACTGCCTTGTAGTTTTTGCTCTGTGAATGTTTCTCCCTACCCTCCACCTCCTCCACTCCCAGATGTGGGCTCTAAAAGAGCTTCTGTGGTCTGGATATCCACTAGGTGCCCAGTACACACAGAAACCTGGTAACTTTGGTTAAATTGAGTTAATTTGAAGGGAAGCTGCTGTGTCAATAACTCTTCCTTTTTAGATTCTAAATCCTATTATGACCCCCATAACTTAAGTTATATTTAAGTGGTTAATCAATAGGACTTATCAATCTTGAATATCCCTCTTAAGTTCCTAATAAGCGACTATACTAGACCATTGCATTGTGGGAAATAAGTAGCTATTATTGTATATTTCTCTATTTGGGCCCTTACACATCTACCTCCAAAAAAGAAATTAACAACCCTGATGACTAGTATCTCTAAGGCAAATGTAACATTAAAATTAAGTATGTATTGATAGTACACCTAGCTCAAGGTCATGCACGTGGGAATGTTCTTTGAACATGAGCTCTCTGATGCCATGTGTTGGTTAATATCTCTGGAAATAGACAAGGCTTGTAGGGGCAACAGTCTGGTTCATGTTGTCCCATGTGTTGGCACCTGCTTTGTCATTTAGGGCCAGGAGCATCATCCAGATACTCAACTACAATATTTTTCCTGAAACCAATGAATGATTGTTCTGTTCTCTTTCATTTTATTTGTCTCTCTTCCTCCCCACCCCTACTCCTAGCTGTCATTGTTTAATTTAAACCAAACCACCAGGATACATCTGGTGGACCCAATGTAGGCAAAAGACAACTGGACAACAAAGAGAAGAGACACGCTTTCAGCCTGGAGAGCTGCCTTCTTCAATGTTTGCCAGTTAAGGGACCCTTTTTATCAGGAAGCAATGAAAGAAGCCTCCTTCACATATAAATGTAAACTGAACCTTTTAACATTAGATGAAAAAGACAGAACAGGGATGGGCCGCAAATGTAGCAGAGGCAGCCTAGAGCAGGGGTCCTCAAACTTTTTAAACAGGAGGCCAGTTCACTGTCCCTCAGACCACTGGAGGGCCAGACTGTGGGCCCCAGGACCAGTCAGCTGCTAAGCAGGACAGGCAGCAGCGGCAAAAACACCCAGCGGGCCAGATAAATGTCCTAGGTGGGCTGCATGTGGCCCGGGGGCCGTAGTTTGAGGACGCCTGGTGAGCTTACTGAGTGTGTCCACGTGAGGAACTGTTCCTGCAAGGAGAGCTCTCCAGCCAAACAGGCCGTGTATCCCCATGTAGCAGAGGAGTAAAAATAGCCAGTGAACTCTGTTTGCTCATTAAGTCACCTTCTTGTTGTAATTTAAGTCTCTGAGAATCCCTGGCCAAGAAATCCCCGCACTGATGGACACAGATATTCTGATCTTTGCAGAACAACTGCATGTGAATCAGGATCCCAAAACCAATCTCACAAAGGTCAGTGGAAACTTGCAAGTTGAGGCCAATCCTATCCTTGGTGGCCCACCCAGAAGCAAATCCCCAGTGCCATACAGCCTGCGACCAAATGACAACCCGAGGGACTAACAGGTTACCACAATAACATTCCAAGCACCCTGGAGACATGTGGGAATTAAATCCCTGGAGTTGGTTCTGTCAGGGAGGTAAAATCTTAGATGCCTACCAGGGTAGTGGAGTGTGATAATTATCTAACTCAGTGATTTTCAACCAATGTGCCATGAGAAGATATTAGGTGTGCCATGAAAATTTCTAAAGATCATTAATTAAATTATTTTCAAAAGAAGTGCAAAGAACAGAAGTATATTCCTTTTTTTACTCTTTTTTTGATTGGCATAATTTAAGCATGCTGCAGAAGCTTAACTATAGGTTTGAGTGTGCCATGAGATCAAAAAAAGGTTGAAAAACACTGATCCAACTATTAGTCATTTGGGGGTTTCCAGGGGTGTTTTTAATTTTAGAAGCAAATTCCCCAAATCTGTAATGCAATCAAAACCAACCGACACGATTCTGAACAAGAGATATTGGTATGTTAAGCAACCACAGTGTTCTGTCCACAGATCTCAGGAGGCACATCCTGTCCTCGGAGCCCTCCAATGGGGACATCACTGCACGAACATGGCCAAAAGTCTCAGGTGTACTTACGTAGGGCATGCCACTCGTCCTGACGGATGGTCTTCGTGATATTGAAAGTGAGGTTTCTGGGGATGGTGGCTGAGGAGTAGTGGTATTTGATGTACGTGCATCGCTCAATTTCTCCTGGAAAAGAGAGATAAGGAACCAAATGTTAATGAGGTAGCAACTACATCGGGGGGAGTAGTTCTGGAATCCATTTATCCTTCCTGGAGAAAGGGACTTGTTTCATATTGGGCCTGATGATAACTATATTTTATTCAAGGCAGTAACTTCAACTCAAAAAGAGCAAGGGAGTAGAACTACCACCAAGCAACATTGATTGAGACAGAAAAATACATCTCTGGGGTGGGAAAAGCCAAAGTTTAGGCTCCTGGCAGCTTGCTGAGAAAGTAGTCCCCATGTTTGTCTATCCTTCTTAAGAAAATTGACCTTCAAGAAAGTTTGGCATCAAAAGACCTTTACATTTCCACCCAGGGGCCAATAGATAGCGGGCTTTGACCTTGATGATGACGTCTATTCTTTTAGCAGGCACAATCTTTGGGAATGGTGAGCTGGGAGGGGTGGTGGAGGATCTTGTGCTTTCTCTCCATCCTTCCCAATGTCACCTCTGAACACAAAGCACTCAAATCAATTTGTACCTCTTTGAACCAGTTTCTTTTAAGGTTTTTTGGACAAAATTGTGATCCCTTAGCAGACTCAATACTTGGTCAAATAGACTTTTATGATAAGTTGTTAGTATTCAAAGCATAATTTGCCAGTCAAATTATCAAAACATTCCTAGATGCTAGAGCATAGTTTCTCAAAGTGTGTTCCCAGGACTAACAACATCAACACCCCCTGGGAATTTGGTAGAAATGCAACTCCTCAGGCCCAAGCCCAGATCTACTGGCAATCCGAAATTGAATAAGCCCTCCAGGTGATTTGGTGAATGCTTAAATTTAAGAACCGATGCCTTAGAGAAGCTAACAGAACTGCCAATGTGTTAATTCATAAGTCAACCATATTTACAAATTCTAAAAAGAAGGCACAGTCAAGAACTCTTCCCTTGTTACTTTTGGTCTCTGGCAGGCATTTCTAGTGACGCTTGCTTATCTGGGGAGATAAAACTCAATGTCAGGGCATTGAGAAGAATCAGGAAAGGGGGTGATTTTTAAAGGTGAGGGGTTTTGAAATTTGGTTTTGCACCTGAATGGATTTTGATGGTAATCCATTTTGCACCCCACTGATTTTCAATTTATAACTGGTGACACCTGATTGAATTATTTGACCCCCTGGCCCACTGTCAGCAGGGAACCTGGCAATTGGTGAAGTGCAATAATTTAGATAGTGCCTCATGAAACTGATGCCTCATTGTAAATCATATCTGGACAATTGCCCAGTTGCCAGTTATTGGCAGACACTCCTCCAATGGGGGAGATGCTGTCCAAAGAGGCAAAGTTCTGGAAAGTGGCAATATACTCTTTTCCTATATCTTCTCCAGTTTTTCAAGTCCTCTGCCTCTTTCCCCATAGTCTACTGGCATCCCCAAACCTCTCACATGTCCCCAGCCCTCCCCCAGAGCACACCTCCTTCTGGCACCTGCATCCTGCTATCCTCCTTCCTTAACTTGCAAAACCTGTAGAAGAGGTAGTCTACAAGACAGGCTCCATTTCCTTAACTCACATTCACATCTCAAACCCCACACTCTAATTTTCATAACAATTTTCATGAATAGCATCACGTTCTATCTAGTCTATAGCATCTTAGCTCCTGCATCATCCCTGAGCCCCCTCCTCCCTAGTGGTGCCCTCCATCCAGTTGGCCACCAGTTCTGCTTCAGAAATGTCCCTGGAATCCAGCCACTCCTGTTTCCGCTCCCTTTGTAGTAGTGGTCCTAACACAATGACCCATCTCAACAAATAACCACATCGACTGAGGACTTACTAGGTAGGAAAGACTTGCCAAGTGCTTTGAAGAGTGGTTTCCAGCTGCACTTATATCATTGTGCACATGGTGAAGATGTTTATAAGGACCCTGGAAAAAACAGCTGAGCCTGCCCTGGGGCCTGTTCAGGCTCCCTGAGAACTAAAGGAAACAGCATTTCCAACTCCCCTGGAACCTGTTCATGGCTTCTGTACTTGCCCTGCCAGTAGGAAACCCTACTATGGCTATCCCATCATGTAATCATTTCAGCCATTCTGCAACCCAATTAAGTAGGCAGTATTATCCTCATCATCCTATGTCACCAATGTGAAGGTGGGGGCTCGAGAAGGCTAAATGACTCACTCAAGGAAGGAGCAATGCTAGGATTAGAACTGGGACTGTGTGACCAGAGACACCCCCCGCCTTCCACCAGGACATAAAGGACAATGGGACCACATCATACCCTGCACAAAGCCATCTGCTGGAAAAACCCCATGCTCCTCATGCATAAAGCCCCAGACCCCACTCCAGCTCCCTTGGGCCCCAACCTTCACACATCCCAGGCTCCAGCCAGGAATCCTTCCCTCCTTCCCCTGAACCATATGTCATATCCAGCCTGAATCTCCACCTCGTCTCCTTCCTGCTTTTCCTTCCCTGATAAACACCTCCTTGTCCTCAGAGGTGGCTCAAATGGCCAAAGCCTTTCCTGCACCTGGAATAGCACCCAGCAGTGGGCGTTGGACGGCGCACTCCATTTCTTTCCTCCCCACAGCGGGTGCTTCTGTCCTTCCTGCCCAAACACAGCACTGGGCTATGATTTATCTGTTTACACGCCTCACTCCCCCACTAGATTATGAGTTTCTCAAGGGCAGGGATGTTGTCTTGTTCATTCATCTTTATCTCCCCAGCCCCTAGCACAGTGTAAGCACCAATAAAATGTGCTTTCAGGAAAGGAATGAATCATATGAGGTGCCTTTTGTAAAACCAGAGTGCAAAGAATTCCACTGCTTCTATGACATGCAAGGAATTAAATAATTGAAGTAAATTTAAGATGTAATGAATTAAAGGAGAGGATTGGAGGGGATTATTGCAGAACTCAGTGAGTCTACAGCAAACATTCCTGTCAGGGAAGAGGTTTACCAATCACAGTGAGGTAAAAGCAAATCACATATAATCACAGAATTATTCCTCACTGTACTTGGTAAATGTAATCCAAGAGATGACCAGGTCAACGGGTCATCTTTTGAGGGCAAAAAGAGTAGAAAAGAAAAAAAAGAAGAAGATACAAAGGATAGATGTCCTAACAAGAATGCCAGCAGCAACTGCCTTGGATATGGACGTTGCACAGGCTGTGTACTGCACAAGGGCCACCTCTCAGGGATTCCTGAGTGCTGGAATCCAGCTGTTACTCTGTTTGCCAAGCCTCACTCCTTGGTGGGATGGGGTGTCTGGCCCTGCCAGAGGGTCTACCTTGGTCTGATTTGCCCAAAGATGCCACAGGAGCTAGCAGCAGCCCTACGCGCAATAATTCCAAGATCAAACAAAACACTCTCAGACTCGGGCTTAGAACATAAAACCAAATCCCAAGGGAATGGCCAAATCAGTGACTCATTTGTGTCTGAGAAAAGTACCTAATTTCTTAAATAAGGTCAGATTCTCTCAGCCTCAACACAAACTCGACAAGTTACCAGAGGCAGGCTGGAGCCAACGCCCTTAGCTTCTCCCACCTCTAGCCCACCAGCCAGGAAGGAAAGACACCACCAGAGGCCCTCACTATTTGCTTTGCTCGGGAATTGCAAGCATCCTGCCTTTGACAGCAATTAAATTCAAAAGATTCAAATATTGCCTAAGAAGAAAGGCAAAATATTTATCCATGTGTCTGCAGGTCCTGTCAGTGTGCTGGGCTTTTGTAAATACAGGCACCATCTGGGCACCAAATATGTATGCTCAGAATGTGGGCTTCCTCACACAAACAGGATTTTTCCTACATAGGAGAGGGCATAACCTGGAGCCACGGGAAAGCTGCGGCCTCACCTAGAGAGAAGGTCAGATGCTCTTCACCAAACTCCTACATTCCCGCCCAGAGTCTCAGCTTCCCCTCAGGAAGCCTTGGCTGGGGCAGCCCACCGGGAGGCTTCCTCCTGCAGCCCCCATGGGACACCTTCACCCCCCAGTCATGCTCTGCCTTCTAAGTTGGTGCTTCCTGCATATCCAGGTCCCAGCAAGACAGGTAAGACACCCAAACGGATAACTGAAGAGGGTTTCAAAGAAGGACAATTTAAATCAATAGCAAAAAACAAATAACCTGATTTTAAAAGGGGCAAAGGACTTGAACAGACATTTCTCCAAAGATTACATTTAAGTGGCCGACGGGTATATGAAAAGATACTCAATATCTCCAATCATCAGGGAAATACAAATCAAAACTACAAGAAGCTACCATCTCACACCTGTCAGGATGCCTATCCCCCCTCCCAAAAAAGCTAGGAAGTATTGTTGAAGAGGGGGAGAAAGTGAAGCCTCACACACTGTTGGTAGGAATGTAAACTAGGACAGCCACTATGAAACACTGCATGGAGGTTCCTTAACAATTTAAAAACAGAACTATCAGATGATCCAGCAATTCCACTTCCAGGCATATACCCAAAGCAATTCAATTCCGTATCTCTAAGAGATCAACACTCCTGTGTTCATTGCAGCATTATTCACAACAGCCAAGACAGAGAAACAACCTGAATGTCCATCAGCAGATGAATGAATAAAGAAAGCGTGGTATACACATACAGAATATTATTCAGACTTAAAAAAGAAAGGAATCTTGTTGTATGTGACAACCTGGGTGAACCTGAAAACATTAGCTAAGTGACATAAGCCAGTCTCAGAAGGACAAATACTGCATGATTCACTTGTGTGAGACTTCTAAAAACAGGAAAACTAGAAGCAGAGAGTAGAACGTACTTTCCAGGGTCAGGGGTGGGAGAAACATGGAGCTGTTGAACAGGTGTAGAGTTTTGGCTGCACAAGATGAGTAGGAGGCCTGCTGTACAGCAGTGTCCTTAGGTAATCACACTGTTATCCATCCGAAAGCTGCTGAGGGTGATCTCACGGTAACAGTTCCTACCATAACAATGACAAAAAGGAGTTTAGGGGGCTACGATTTACAAAACTGAGCAGAGGATAAAGAGACTAGTGAAGGACGGTGTGGGGGACCTGCTGGGGCA